CCATCAAGAAGAAATAACACTTATAAATATCTATGCAGGAGCACAAAATCTCATAAAGCAACTATCAACAAACCTAAAAGAAGATATTAATAATAACACAATGATAGTAGGGGACGTCAACACCCCACTCACAGCAATGGATAGATCACCTAGACAGAAAATCAACGAGGAAACAGTGGAATTAAATGAAAAGCTAAACCAGTTGGACTTAATAGACATATATAGAGCACTTCATCGAAAAACAGCAGAATGCACATCCTTCTCAAATGCGTACAGAACATTCTCATATGGTCTCAAGGAGAGACCATATGTTGGGAAACAAGGCAAGCCTCTATAAATTTAAAAAAATTGAAATAATAAGCACCTTTTCTGATCATAATGCTATAAAGCTAGAAATTAATTACAAGAAAAAAGCTGAGAAAGGGACAATGTTTTGGAGATTAAACAACATGCTATTGAACAAGCAATGGATCACTGAAGAAATTAAAGGAGAAATCAAAAAATATCTGGAGACAAATGAAAATGATAAGATACCATACCAATTTATATGGGATGCAGCAAAAGCCATATTAAGAGGGAAATTCATTGCAATACAGGCACACCTCCACAAACAAGAAAAATCCCAAATAAGCAATCTTAATAACACCTTATGCCTGTTAAAATGGCTATATTCACTAAGACTAAAAATAACAAATGTTGGAGAGGGTGTGGAGAGAAGGGAACCTTCAAACACTGCTGGTGGGAATGCAACTTGGTGCAGCCACTATGGAAAACAGTACGGAGATTCCTCAAAAAACTAAAAATAGAACTACCATATGACCCAGCTATCCCACTACTGGGTATCTGCCCAAACAATTTGAAATCAACTACCCAAAATAACATAAGCACCCCTATGTTCACTGCAGCACTATTCACAATAGCCAAGTGCCCATCGACTGATGATTGGATAAAGAAGATGTGGTATATGTCTATGATGGAATACTACTCAGCCAGAAAAAAAGACAAATTCATCCCATTTGCAATAACATGGAAGGACCTGGAGGGAATTATGCTAAGCGAAGTAAGCCAGTCTGAGAAAGACAAACACCAGATGATTTCACTCACATGTGGAATATAAACAAATACATGGACAAAGAAAACAGTTCAGTGGTTACCATGGGAAGGGGAGTGCTGGGTGGGCACAGGGAGTGAAGAGGTGCACCTATGTGCTGACAGACAAGAAGTAATGTACAACTGAAATCTCACATTGATGTAAACTATTATGAACACAAGAAAAAAACAAGCATTGAACAACACTACAGAGTTTTGAGAGAAATATCAATAAAGTTGTTCATAGAGAGAGAAGTTGTCTGCCATGCTTGACTGACTCCTGTACTGTGCACAAACAGAAAAAGAATCCATGGAACCCAATGGAAACAGCAAATGGAGAACTAGAACAGTGTGAACACACATTAGCAGCTGCCTGGTGCTGGGGAAGCAGAATTTAGAGCTGAAATTAACTCTCACCAAATTAGAGGGACTTGGTTACTACCTAGGACTTTCCACTGACATCCCTGAAGGGTCATGTCTGAGCAGTAAGAACCATATCTCACAACAGCTACACCGCAGACTAGAAAACCCAGAAATAGTAATAGGAGACCCAGAAGGACAGGAGAGAGAGAAAGGGGCTAGAAAAAACATCTTAAAAAAAGCCCTCACCTCCTGGGTCAGGGAAACACATATGCTATAAAGCAAGAGAAAGCCCGCTTTCAGTTCTCCTAGGACTTTTTCACACACCATAAGGAGCAGAACTGTAGCCAAGCGTTTCAAATGTCTATCTCACCAAAAGTCAAGCAGTCACATGGCAGGAGAAGCACGTAGGCTGACTCCAAAGGTGCAAGAGAGACAAGAGTATTATCTTCCTCAGTACTCAGATTTCAAGAAGGAATGAGGTCCCAGAACTTGGAGACATCTCTAGGTCTAAAATGCCAAGACAAGGAGGAGGAAGGCTATCTGGCTCCTGAAGAGATTTACATACCAAAGAGCTGAAGAGGAGACCTTTTCGGGAGATGAGGGGGACAGCTAACTCCTTCTCATTTACATGCAGGGAAAATCTTTTTTCCTCATCTCTCACCTACAGGATGTCTGCCTACTCAGAATAAAACAAATGACCTGATTCTTGCAGTACTGTCCTAGCAGGTAAGAACTAGGACAAAAGGGGACCAATGCACTTACTATTCACTGTGGGGTATTCAATAAGAAATCTGTCTCTAACCCAGAAAACCTCATGTGCGCATTTAGGAAAAAGGTAATAAAGATGAATATAAAAAGCCTAACAATAATGGCCACAAACTTCCCAAAATAAATGGAAAACAGTCTACACATCCAAGAATATTAACAAACCACAAGTAAAATAAAAAATAAATTTAAAAAAATGTTAAAGGCAAAAAGAAAATCTTGAAAGGAGCAAGAAAAAAATGACTCACCATTTACAGGGGAACAACAATACAGTTAACAACAGACTCCTCATCTGAAAAAATGGAGACTGGAAGGCAATGGAATGATATATTCGCAGGGATGAAAGAAAAAAATATAAACTAAGAATTCTGTATCCAGAAAAATTCTCCTTCAACAATGAAGGCAATGATGATGGGGGGATGCAATTATACAGTGGAGGAATTTGACACACATAACACTGGCCAAATAATCGAGGTCAATATCATCAGTGATAACTCACATTAACAGCATGGCCTCCTGATACGATGTGTTGAGAATAGCACTTCATCTCTGTGGTCCTCCTCCTAACAAACCCATAAGCCCCAATCCAAACATGAGAAAAACATCAAACAAACTCATTCTGGAAAACACCCTCCCAGTACTTCTCAAAACTCTAAAAGTCATCAAAAATGAGGAAAATCTGAGAAACTGCTGCAGACCAGAGGAAGCTAAGGAGACATGATGACTAAATGTAATGTGGTCTCCTGGATACAATCCTGAAACAGAAAAAAGGCATTAGGAGAAAACTAGTGAAATCCGAATAAAGTGTTGAGTTTAGTTAATAGTAATGCACCAATGTTAATTCCTTAGTTGTGACAAATGTACCATATTAATGTAAGATGTTGACAAGAAGGGAAGAAACTGATGAGGGTTATATGGGAACTCTCTACATATAGCTTTGCAACTCTCCTGTAAATCTAAAGCTATTCTAAAATTAACACTATTTTAAAAATCTCAATAGATGGGTTTAATAGCAAATGAGATACAACAGAAGAAAAGATGAGTAAACTAAAGACAGGTTAACAGAAAATATCCTATTGAAGGTCAGAGAGGAAAAACAAGGAATGTAAAATGTAAAAAAACAAAAAGTCTAACAGGTGTATGGAACACAATGAGAACATGAACAGAGGTATAATAGAGGTCCCAGAGGACAGGAAAGGCAGAATAGGACAGAAACAATGTATAAACCAAGAACGGCTGAGAATTTTCCAAAACTGATAAAAGACATCAACCCACAGATTTAAGAAGCTCTACAAACCACAAGCAGCAAAACAACCCCAAAGAAAACCACTCCTCAGCATATCCTTCTAAGATGCTGAAAACCAAAGGACAAAGAAAAATTTAAAAGCATCCAGAAGAAAGAAATTCTATTATTTTCAAAGGAACAACAAAAACACTGACAGCTTTCATCTCAACAAAAATGAGAAAAGCCAGAAAAATAGCAGAATGTTATCTTTAAAGCACAGAAATTAATGCCAACACAGAATTCTACACTCAGCAAATGTATCCCCCAAAAGTGAAGGAAAAATAACATTTTCAGACCAAAAAAAGGAGGAGAATTGTTGCATACACACATGGCCCTTAAAGTTGATAGGCATTTATACTTACTGACGTGAAAAGAAGTTCCTAAATGCTGCTGAGTGAAACAACATATAAATAATACCACATATAAAATTGTGCCTGTAAACCAATACACACAAAATACTTCAAACAAAACCTTACCACAAAAGATTAGCAGTGATTTCCTGTGTTGTTTAATATGGGAAGGTTTTTATTTTAACCGTACCACTGTATTGTCAGAATTTTGGGCATCAAAGGTTTATCTTTTTTTGCGGTTTCCAAAAGTAGTTTTAAATATATAACGACACACTTAAATATATAATGTCAAGTGAGAAATACAGATTAAAATAATTTTGAGCTCCTATCCACTGGGCATTTTACAGACACATTATCTCTAATTTTCAAAGTAACAATGAAATATAAGTCTAATTATCTGCATTTTTTCATATTCCTTTCCAATTGCTACCAATTTGAAAGTAAAGTATTTGAGAAATGAGGCCCAAAAAAGGCAACATTTGTTGCTATAAATGGTGAATTAACGATGAGATACTAGGCATTTACTGGATATTTCATCTGTTATCTGACTTTTTTCCTTACGAGAATCCTGCAGTTTAGATGAGGAAATTAAGGCTCAGTTAATAAGTAGCAGAGCTGAAATTAAGATCATAAACTGATTCCAGAGCCCACGTGCTTTACCATAACACCAAGTTGTTATTACTAATTCAAGAAGCTTCCTAATATACTTTCCTACTAACGAGTGATAACCATTCTGGTTAATGTAGCCAACAACAGCATATATAGTTAGTACAACTGGCAAAACAAAGGATGAACAATCCTATAATTCTCTATGAACTATACATGCAACTACAAAACTAACTCAATATTTTTAGTTTTCTCAGTATTTCAAAATTCACAAAAGGAACAAGCTGAAAGAGTCTACGGCTTAGCAGAGTCCATTAAAACTTCTGCAGATTAACCAAACATGTGTCTCAGCACTGTTAAGTGAATGGTACCTTCTAGTGGCATCAATGCGCACTATGAATGAAAGTAATTATTATTACCATCATCATCAAGAAGATATCATTTCATTAATTCAATTCATAGTATACTACCAAAATTTATAACAGAAATTTTGATATAAGTGCCTCCATACACATACACACACACTCATTTTTCCCCCTTACCTAAAGACCTGCAGACTGAAATGGTTGCCTCCTCCAGGAGCTTCAACTCAGTACTGGAGAGACAGAAGAAAGGTAATTAATAATTACAACACTAAATATGTATATATTAACCAGTGAAAGGAATATACAAAAATAAAGATAAAAATAATTTAGAAGGAAAATATGGTATACAGTAGTAGTAAACAATAATACTAGGAAAATAAAGTTAAGCTTCTACTTCGATGTAATTAGAAAATTTTCTATAATTCTCAACATGAGATTCCTAAAAGAGAAGCACCTGGGGCACCTTGTCTTTCAGGCATTGGGAAAAGGAAAAGGGATGGTGTTGGTGGGACTCAGGAAAATTCGAGAAAGGCACTCCAAAGTACACAGCACAAGGCAGGGGCCCCATCTGCCCAGTCCCAAGGGCAGTACTGATTATGGGATTACAGTTATTTAGAAAAATGACTATTTTTAGGAGATACATGAAGTCTCATGTTATCTGCAATACTTTCAAATAGTTTAACAATGAAAAAAAGGAAGAAATAAGGCAAGAAAAGAGAGAGCTTTTACATAAGCTTCAATAATTTATACATATATAGAAAAACAAACAGACACAACTGACAGAGACAGGAGGCACAGACAGAGATAAACAAAAACCTCTTAGATTTAAAAACACAGGGGAAAGGTTCACGCCATGGATTTGGGAATGATTTCTTAGATGACACCAAAAACACAAGGATCAAAAGAAAAAAATAGGCAAGGTGGAATTCATTAAAATTAAAAACTTTTGCACATCAAAGGATACTATCAACAGAGTGAAAAGTTAAGCCAATAGAATGGGAGAAAATATCTGCAAATCAATCTCTGATAAGGATTAATAGCCAGAATATATTTTTTAAAACTCTTAGTAACAACAAAAAACACAATTTAAAAATGGGCAAAGAATTTAAACAGACACTTCTCTGAAGAAGACATACAAAAGGCCAGTAGGTATATGAAAAGATGTTCAACATCACTAGTCATTTAGGGAAGTGCAAATCAAAACCACAATGAGATACCACTTCACACCCATTAGGATGGCTACCATTATTTTTTTTTTCCTAAAGATTGGCACCTGAGCTAACAACTGTTGCCAATCTTCTTCTTCTTTTTTTTTTTTTTTTTTTTTTAACTCTTCTCCCCAAAGCCCCCTAGTACATAGTTGTATATTCTAGTGGTAGGTCCTTCCGGTTGTGCTATGTGGGATGCCACCTCAGCATGGCCTGATAAGCGGTGCAATGTCCCCGCCCAGGATCCAAACCAGCGAAACCCTGGGCCACCGAAGCAGAGCACATGAACTTAACCACTCAGCCACAGGGCCAGCCCCAGGATGGTTATTATTTAAAAGAAGAAAAAAGTGTTAAAGAGGATGTAGAGAAATTGGGGACCCTTATGCATTGCTGGTGGACATGTAAAATGGTGCAGGCGCTGTGAAAAACAGTATGGTAATTTCTCAAAAAATTAAATGTAGAATTACCAGATGATGCAGCAATTCCATTTTTGGGTATATATATACACCCAAAAGGACTGAAAGCAGGGACTCAAACAGATATTTATACACCCATGTTCCCAGCAGCATTATTCACAATAGCCAAAAGGTAGAAGCAATCAAAGTGTCCATCAATGGATGAATGATAGTACCAAATGTGGTACACACATACAATGGAACACTATTCAGCCTCAGAAAGGAAAGAAATTCTGACACATGCTAAAACGTCAATGAACCTTAAAGACATTAGTGCTAAGTGAAATTAAGTCAGTTACAAAAAGACAAATATTGTATGTTTGCACTTACATAAGGTTCCTAGAGTAGTCAAATTCATAGAGACAGAAAGTAGAATGGTGGTTGCCATTGGCGGGCTTGGGGGTAGAGAGGAATGGGGAGTTAGTGTTTAATGAATACGGAGTTTCAGTTTGGGAGGTTGAAAAAGTTCTGGAGAGGGATGGTGGGGATAGTTAACAAAGTGAATGTACTTAATACGACAGAAGTATACTCTTAAAAACGGTTAAAATGACCAATTTTATGTTGTGTATATTTTGCCACAATGAAAAAAAAAGTGCATTCCAATTCAAATTCCAATTCCAGCTCAACTAGTTACTACTAGCTATGTGACATGAGGCAATTTTCTTAACTCTTTATATCTTACTTTCTTCATACATAAAAGAGAGATGATTATAAGAGCACTTGCTTCAAAAAGTGTTATCATTAAATTATATAATACGTGCAAAGTACTTAGAACACTGCCTGGCACAAAGTAACCCCTCAGTAAATGGTAGCTATTACTTATTCCAAAATGCAGTATTTTTTTCCTAGTTAATAAATTAAAATAATGCTTTACATCTGTAAATCCTTTTCAATGTTTTTCAAAGCACTTTCAAATTTATTAGCACATTTAAATCCCATGAAAACCTCTCTTAATGAGCAGGACATTTATAAACTCTGTTTTTATAGATAAGCAAACTGAGGCTTCTAAGGAGTTGAAGTAACGTTCCAGGAACCAGAGGTCTCGGAGGAACAAGAACCAGCTTTAGAGCCTGGTGACCACGTTAAGAATTACGTTTTCTTTTACGCCAATACATACGGCACAGCAAATCCTCCAAATGGGCAACTCTTCTATGGCTAGTTGAAAACTGCCCCCTACCTAGCGTTCTCTGCTGTTGCTGGTGAAGCACACTTTCAAAAACAGCGATCCATAAGCATTAATGCCTTTGACAAGAAAGTTTTAGAGAAACTAAGGAAAAAAACAGATTGCTTTAGCTATCTCTGAACTACGCTGTCCAATATGGTAACCACTAGCCACACGCAGCTGCTGAATGCTTGAAATGTGGCTAGTCCAAACTGAGATGTGCTGGAATATAAAATACATACCAGATTTCAAAGATTTGTTCCTTTTCTTTTTAAAGATTGGCACCTGAGCTAACAACTGTTGCAATCTTCTTTTTCTTTTACTCTTCTCCCCAAAGCCCCCCAGTACCTAGTTGTATTTTCTAGTTGTGAGTGCCTCTGGTTGTGCTGTGTGGGATGCTGCCTCAGCATGGCCTGATGAGCAGTGCCAAGTCCACGTCCAGGATCCGAATAGGTGAAACCCCGGGCCGCTGAAGCAGAGGGCAGGAACTCAACCACTCAGCCAGAGGGCCAGCCCCTCAAAGATTTTTTTTAATGGAAAATACTTCATTACTAATCCTTACGTTCATGAAACTATAATATTTTGAGTATATTGGGTTAAATTAAATATATTATTAAAATTAATTTCACCTGTTTCATTTTACTTTTTTAATGTGGCCACTAGAAAACTTTAAATTACATATGTGTCAAACCTTATACTTCTATTAGACAGAGCTGCTCCAGAGTATTATACACACAAAGGTAAAACCCACTAATTACTGCAGTGAATACGCCATTGAGGAAGACAGCAAGGCTTAAGATCTGGTCCCAAGAACCGATGGGAAGGCCAGCAGGAATCCTGAGTCCTTTCTGTTTCTCTCTCCTTCCCTCCGCAAAGCTCTTTTATTCATCTTTCTTACTAAGGGGCTTTCTCTGCTTCTCAGTGGACAGAGGACGGCTTCCCATAAGCTTCAGCTTTGCAGCCAAGTTCCAGCCATATGGAAAGCCTGTCTTTCCATCTCAATTCCAAATTCCCCGAGACTCTGGCATGGCTTACGTTAGATGTCTATCTCTGATTCAGGCAGCTATGGCCAGGGAGTGGGGTCATGCTGAACCAGCTGAGCTGGGTTCCTGATCTTGGATTCTATGTGACACCTCTGTCTCTTCATCACATACGCCCCTCTTTCTGGCATATGCTAAATCAAATTTATTTTTATTAATAACCAAAAGACTTCTAATTAATAATCACTGTGGTCAGATTTAATAATAGACACTAGTGAGCTGGCAAGAAGTAGGAACTATCAATTCTCAGTTTACTGGTTACTCAGGCAAAAAATAAAAGAGGCAGAAAATGCAAAAGATTGTAAAAAGCTTTACGAGGTTAATAACCAGACCACGCGCATAAAATCTGTTTCACGGCTGCTTCTACTTTCTTCAGTCAATAATACTCTCTTAAAACTGGCTGGAACCAAGAGCTTCAATTATATACACATGTCTATAACCTTCAGAAGCTCAGGAATTTGTTCGTTCAGTACACAGTGCCTGGGTGCCCAGGCGGTGCTGCGTTCTGTGAAAGACGCTGCCTCTACCTCAGGCTACATGGAGGAATGAAGAACCAGACAGACTATTTGGAGCAGGGGAAGTACAAAGATCAAGACCAGCCCTGAGTGTGAGATCTTAGGAGGGGCATTCGATCTACTCCGGGAGCAGTCAAGGAAGGCATCTTGGAAGAAGTAACTGTTTGTCCTGAAGAAGCAAGAGAAGTCAGTCAGGCAGATGAAAGAGGAAGGCCTTCCAGATACAAAGAAGAGCACATACAAATGTGTGGCAGTCACAGAGAGCCTGGCACCTCCTGAGACGCAGATGGTAATCAACACTGGAGGATTAGCCTGAAAAAAGGACTAATGTATTAGTGAGATTGGTTTGGACATCGCTTCCTCCAGGATCACCTAAGACCAGGTGAGAAGCCTGGTCTCTGCCCCAAAAGAACCTGATCATAAAACTGAGCGCACAATAGCAAGATTGCCCAATTACTTATCTGTTGACCCTGCTAGACTGTGGGCTCTGTGTTCCTCACAGTGGCCCCAGCCTGGTACAAATCAAGCACTTAATTAAAATGCACTGAATGAATGAACGCCACTGTTGGACCCTTCATTGCCAGAGGACAAAATTAATTATTTTCCCCATTCCTCAAGAAACACTTCACACTCTCCAGACCTCAAGGCAAGGTCTGCCCCTAAGTTTAACTTTTTATTAAAATATTCTTTAAGGGGCCAGTCCCATGGCCTAGTGGTTAAAGTTCCAGATACTACACTTTGGTGGCCCAAGTTCAAGGGTTCGGATTCCAGGTGCAGACCTACACCACTTGTCAGCCATGTTGAGGTGGCAACCCACATACAAAACAGAGGAAGACTGGCAGAGATGTTA